ACTCGAATCAACGAACTAAACGGCCCTTAAAAATAAAATCCTAAAACTCTAAAATCCTCCAGAAATGCTCAAGAATGAGCTGATTCAGAATGGGCATTAAAAAAAAAAGGCCCCAATTGCCCTTTATTTCCCACACTTCCACGCGCAAAGGGTAAAGAGAAAGAAGCTTAGGTCTGGTGACTGTGTCCTGGACACGTGGCGAAGAACAATTGGAGACGGAAAAAAGTGGGAGCAAGGAAAGGCTGGAGTCTGTTGTTGCTGTAAGCTTGGACGCTCCTCTTCCCCGGGAGTGAAGCCCACACGCTGATCTGGGCCTTCCGTTTCTTGATTTGACGGTTAAATTGGAGAGTTTAGAACGGTTCTCAGTCGCGCGCATTGGTGGGATTATTGAAGCTGATTCCAAATTTCGAATTTTCAAGGATTTTCTTTGCAATTGTGACCCTATTTTGCTTCAAATTACATAAATGAAGAAATTAATTATTTTGGAAGGAAAACTAAAAAAAAATATTAAACTAAACAAACTAAAATAAAATAAAATAAATCTAATGAAAATCTAAACTAAAATAAATTAAATCAAATGAAATAAAAACAAATGAAATTAAGTAAAACTAAAATAAAAGGTAAATTAACTAATTTAAAATAAAGTAAAATAAAATAGCTAAAAAGTCTCAAAAACTATTCAATTTAAGTGAACAAAAATAATGAAATAAGTTTATTTTACAGAGTTATCAGAGTAAAACATGAACTAATTAAAAATAAGAAAAAAATCTAAATCATCATAATCCAACTACATTGTAACCCAAAAAAGAAACTAATTAAACAGTGGCTTTGGCATAGTTAAAGAACAAAGATAGAAAATCAAAAAATAAAACCGATTAAAGGTGTCACGGGTCTTCAAGTTTCTTCTTCTAAATCTTCTTCTCCTTGTAGCATCAAAAAAACCTTCTCAATCCTAAATAAAAACTAAATAAACTAATTCTAAAAAGTGACCTCAAATTCCCAAAACTAATGAAGGCCCCGTTCATTTCGTTGATTCGAGTTTAGAATTCGAGTTTTGCTACAGTAAAAAGCTCTCACAAACAGTTACATCTAACTTTTTTGCTACAGTAAAAAGCTCTCACATAAAGTCACATCTCAACTCAAATTAAAAACTCGAATCAACGAACTAAACGGACCCGAAGACTTGCTTCTCTAATGAAGACTTGCTTGCCCCGAGGTCTCCTCTTCAATTTTCGGCTAAAAGCTATTAAATAGCCCTTTTGAATTCACGTATATTCGAGAGGGATTCTTTCATGCTTTTGGAGAATATTCTCAATATTGTGTCAAGAGATATGATAATTTATGAAATTTTACATTAAAAATTACAAAATCAAACGATAAAGTTGTAAAAACTACGATAATTTGTAAAATTTAAATTTTACGATAATTTATGTTAGAACTTAAACTCGAATAATTCATCGTAAAATTCAAAATTTCACAAATTATTGTTCGAGTTTGTAAATTCTAATTTGTATATGAATACATATATTCACATAATATAAAAGTCATAACTTGATTTTACTGTTTATAACAAAATACCAATTATAATTACAATGATAAATAAAAAGAAAACGTTGCATCTGTTCGCGTTTTCTTTTCACAAGTTTGCTTCCTTTGTCTAAAACGACGAATCATTTAAAGAGCATCACTTAGAAGCTTGCAAGTCTTTAGCCAAACAATTATAAAATGGTCCAGATGTCGTTTCTAATGGTTAACGAATAGCATAAATCCTATACTCTGATACTGATACAGCTTTTCCCATTTGAGAAATTGTGAATTCTGAAACGATAAGTTAACTGTTTTATTCCAAAAACATTCCAAAAACAAATTCCCAAATTAAGGACTTGACCACTTGATTTTGGTGAATTGAGTTCATGGCATGCTTCGCCTTAACGTGGTTGATTACAAATAAATAAACAAGACTGAACTTGTAAGTGAAATACTTATTCTTCTTGCTGAAATCTATCAATTATCTTTTCAAGTATTGGTTTGTTGATGCTCAATGCCAATTCAATGCAATATCTCGATCTTTTTATGCTTAATGAAAGGCTAAACTGTTTTCTCTAGAGACTGAACAAAACACAAATTGCATGAGGCGCCAATTCAGAACCAGAACCAAGTTATAATTTTATACAGGATTCGAGCACTTGTTCCCCAAACCAACAAACAAACTGTAAAAATAGACGAAAAAGAACTAGACTGCTTTGCATTATGGAAAAAAAAAAAAAAAAAAGAAGGAAACGATAAGTACATTCTAACAGTACTTATTACATGAAAGTTGAATGTAGTTTCATTTCAGTTAATGTAGAGATGTGTCTTCATCTAGAGAGAACATGTCCAAATAAGAAGGATTATCCAGCATCATTTTGGCTACTAAATAACAGGCAATTGACCAACTTTGGAACACCCTGCAAACATGGACTAACAATCAGAAGTACTCGCATAAAAAGAAAGAAAAAATGTATCTTTTAAAATTGATTAAAAGTAATGCCAGGGAGTTTAGTATATAAAATACGAATAAAACCAATATTAGAAACAATGATTAATTTCTACTTCTTTGCCTGCCTACTTGAATCCACTCATACATGTAGCCTACACATGTAGCTTTCACGGAGTAAGCAACTTATCCAGCCACTTTTTGTCCCTAGTTTGGCCACTTTTGATGCATTACTGTGAACTCCCAGATCCCTCTTTTGTGACGATGAAATTGAGAACTCTTAATAACAAACATATACAAGAACAACCCGTGTAATGTTTCTGCTACTATCCTACTTTTTTTCTGAATTTTTTTTTTTTAAAAAAAGGTGGAGAAAAACACAAATCTATATTTTCTCAAAAAGAAAGGAAAATACGTTTAAGGACCGTTACCATAGGATTTAAACTCATGAGTTCTTTTCAATGCTCGTATATACATGACGTTAGAAGATAAAAACTATAAGGTCTTGTATATCACATTTAACTTTTTGTGCTACAGTTAAAAGCTCTCAGAAAATATCACATCTCAACTTAAATTAAAAACTCGAATGGTTGAGATTAAAAACTCGAATCTGCAAAGCGAACGAGGCCTAAATCGGAACTACATGTAATGAAAATCTTACCATTATATTGGACGGTCAATCATACAACAGGCGTCAGAACACATTAGCGAATCCCCCCGAAAGACAAACTGAGAATGAGGCGCAAACCTTTCTGGCACTCAGCAAGTTCAGCCAAGGAAGAGTCTCCGTAGATTTTGTGTATGCCCCGAGCAAGATAATCCACCAAAGTCCTGAATCAACAGGAGCGACTCTTCCTATCGCACTCTCTCCGAAATCTGCTGTTAGAATCTCTGAATTCCTGATCGGATCATGGACAACTTTGAAACTAGCTAGCATGACTCCTTCTGCCATCGGAAACTTATCTTTTTCTTCCAAGATTGAATACGCATAGTAGTCGAGATAAAATGTTTCACGATTTCGGAATCCCGATTCCTCAGAAAATAAATCGCACTTGGAAAAAATTCCCTAACAAAAACATGCAACAGAAATGGAAGGAAAAGGGCACATAAGAAGACGTACATATCAAGAAATCAATAAAGGGTTAAAGAGAGGAAAAAAAATTACGTTGAGTTGATATAAAGATCGAGTTCTTTGAGACTACCTGATCATAATTTACCTTTTCTTCAGAATCATCTAGTGCAGCAACTGTCCCAACTGGTTGGCCTTGTAAGAATACCACGGCACGCTTAAAAGCTTCCCTGGCCTTAACCAGCATTGAAAGAGATTCAAAGCTGTGTTGTGAAAACCTCTCCATATTAAGAGGTCTCTTCGGCCACGACGTGAACTTGGAGAAATCAGTTTCTCTAGTCATTCAACACTTTCTAAAGAAAACGAAAATGAGAAAAGTAGAAGAATCAAGAAAACGCATTGGAGAAGAAAAACAGAGAAAATGAAGACTCGTTAACGAAAGAAAGAGAAGAAAAATTAATAATTTTCTGCAAGTTTACAGAAAAGATAAGAGAGATGAAAACCTCAAATTAAGTTTTCTGCAGAGTTGCGAGACTTTGTCCTGCTTTTTTCCCGTTAGAAAAGCATATATTTATAATTGGCGGAAAAAAACGACCAAAAATATGGAAAACGACAAGAAATAATAAAATCATGAATTACTTTCACAATTGCCCCCTACTATGTATCATGTTTTAAATTGCCCCCTAATTTTTCAAAACCGTTCAAAACATCCTTTAATGTCTATAAATTCAATCAAAATGTCATCTACATCCATTTCCGTCTATATTTGTTGACGTGGTATGATATCAAGAGGCACACTGAAAAACATCAGATGTTGCATTAAAAATTGAACGGTAAATAGGGGGCATTTATATCAATGCTCAAAATCTAAAAAATATTAATTAGAAAATATTAATATGATTATGACATATTTCTCAACTATAATCAATAAAAAAATCAATTATAAACTCTAATTGCATTAAAATTAAGATGTTTTTAACAAAAAAAATTGTATTGGGACCATAAAAATTTAATTTAAGTAACGTGATTTTTCAAAAAAAAAAAAAAAACAATGGAAACTTAACGCTGTGATATTGTTGGTGGACCATTATGTACAAACTTTTTTTAAAAAAAAATTTAAGGTCGAAAATAAACAGAGATTGTCTTTTTTTCTAGTTAGAAAATAGATCAGATAGTCTATTTTGTTGTATAGAAATACCAATTTCTCAACAACAACCAAAAAAAAAAAAGGAAAAGTCTTGTATTTGAATATCTTTTCATTTTTCATTTTTTTAATCGTGCCCACGCCTTGCTTGCTTGTAGAAAATTTGAAGTTCATTTGATATGTGAGTTTGATAGTTTGATATTTAACCTTTTAATACTCTGAATCTCATTTATGCATTAGGAAAAGCAAGCACCAAAGGAATTTTTTTTATCATTATTACGATATGTATCATTTTCTTTTTTGGATAGAAATTGAGAAATGTATCCTAGTTCTTGCAAATTGCAATCAAACCTTTTACCCTCTTCTCTCTCTCGAGCGGGTAGTCTTTTGTTTTCTTCTACAAGCACTAGAGTAACAAAAGAAGAAATAAATAGAAACAAAAGCCATTACATTACAAACCAACATTTCTTACAATAACTGGTACATTATTTCTAATCCTAGAAATAATTTTTCTGACTCTCCCTCTTTGCTTCTTCATAGACTTTTTTTTTTTTTTTTTCCTGCACAGAACGTGTAATAGAAGCAGCTATTTCTATAGCCTTTGTTTCACCCGCCTCCCATTGATATCGCTGCCGTCAAGAACAGCTTCATTTCCATGCTTGGAAACGGCAACGTTGGCTATATATTGCAGAAGGTCAGTCATTACAGAGGGACAACTTTGCTTCAAGTATTCGAAACCGTCGGTTTCCATCACAGCTGATCAACAAAAAAGATTAGAATTATATTATGATCACAAATTACAGTTTTATTTTCTCTATAAAAAAAATACAGTTTTATATAGTTGTAAGATATAATATAACCAGAAAAGGCATTATTACGCTGAGATTGAGAAATTACTTATGGTTATAGTCAATTCAATTAAATAACACCACTTAACACAAAATGAATATCCAACAATAGAATAAAGCTTTACATCCTTACAAGCAAAATTCTCACTGATCATGTAGTGGATTCTAATTTCTAAGAGATTTTTTACTATAGCCTTGAGATTCACAAATATTAAGCATGGATAGTCCCGATTATTACAAAAAAATAGAAATTAAAAAAAGGCTCACCTCCAAGATTTTCAGGCATTGCAACAAACTTGAGGCACACGGCTTTCAACTGGAAGCAGTGATGCTGTTCTGCCAGCGCTAATGTTGTTGCCACAGTATTGATAGCGACATGTTCGCAGAGACTTGATTCACATAGCAACCTGAGCCTTTCTAAGCCATAGCGATCTGCTGCTGCAAGCAGATGCTGGGCCATCAAAGTAGAAGCCCATTTTGAGTTCAAACCAGTAAGCTCTTCTACGTCGGGCAGTGAATCCCAGTATATAAAATGAAGCAAAGCCTGCACATGGGAAAATAAAGTAAATTGGCAAGTCATTCTTCGTACAAAATAGTCAACTTACATCATGTACCTCAATACATGGAGGCTAAGCTTGACTGTCTTGTGTCACTTATGTCAACTAAGACAGTGCACTGCCAATCCACCTCCCCTTTTCCCTCGGGAAAAAATGGAAACAAAAAATCAAAAAGAAATAAAAATGTGCAGCGCATAGTAGCATAAAAATCTGGAAAATGACCACCTTCAAACAAACCATCATCTTCAAACAGACAATTTTACAGAATAATCATCATTGAAGGAAAGTTCTTTATGGATCAAGTTGTGAAACATCAAAATTTCAATATCCGTAGTTTCGTCCAATTCATAGAGCAAATAACCACAGCAGTCAGTTCCCATCCGCCACGCAAATAAACGGCAGAAACAATACAAGTTTGCTGAAAAACAAAAATTAGAAAAGTGTTATACCTTAAAGACTGGAGCCTCCATATCTTCAATTTTTATGCATTCGGTATTCTGATCCTTCATAGGACCAAAAAGTTGGGCCCGGAATACAGGTGATCGTGCTCCTAGTACTAACTTGTGAGCTGAAAAATGTTCACCATAGACTTCAAACGTTACATCAGTTCCCTTTCCACTTTCCAGTAGCTGCCCAAAATGCTGGCCAATGTTAGATGGTGGTATTGCTATGGAATAGGTCTTAGGCCCCTCCGTTCGCGACTTCACAACACCAACAATACAGTTAACCGACAGACAATCATCTTTAAGATAGTCTGACGTCTCCAAGGCAGTTCTTTTGAAGAATCTCTTATAACCCCTGCATCATCCAACCGTCCATTAAAACGTGCCCATTTAAGCAACATATAGAAAATGAGCAAGCTAGATTCCCAGAACAAATGCAGACACGAGAGATATTTAACAATCCCACAAACATTACAATCAAAAACATGATGACAATAATTCCCGGTAAATACGCAAACAAAAGGAGAATCTTTATCACAACAGAATAAACAAAGAACTCATACCAACATTTAGATAGCTAAATTTCCACCCAAAGAAAGCAATGAAAACGAAAAAGCCCATAATTCTTGTAGAACTAAAACCGCAAAATTAAAAACCATCATAAAATTCACAATGCAAAATCTACAAACAGAAATTCCAACCAAAGAAATCATTAAGAACTGAGATCAATCGACGGCTGACCACATGCTACCGCGGTACTTGAGCGTGTAGGGCCCACTCTCCAACATCCTTCCGAAATGGCTGTGAACCTTGTGCCTCTCCCTCCCGCTCTGGTCCAATAGCGTCAATTCGAACAAAGCCCTCACGTCCGTACCCTCGCTGGCGAGCGCGATGAACAGAGAAACGTACGTGGCATTGTCCTCGGCGCTCTTCCCGTCGGGGTAAAAGTAAATCGCCCACGAGTACCCGCCGACATCGAACGTGTCGGAAGCGATGTACTTCCCAATCCCAAGCCCCTTGGACAGGGAATAACCATTGATCTTGAAATGGTGAGTCCCGTTTACGGTCTCGGTGATCGACATCGAAGTGGTGGTCGGCGGAGAGGCACGAGACAACGACGAAGACGACGACGAGGGCTTGGAGGCTTCGCGGAGAACCTTCCCCATGCCCGGTCAGCGAGAATTTGACCAACCTGAGCTCGAATTCCGAGAACAAAATTGGGATCGGGATCTAGGGTTTCAATCGAAATTAAAAGCAATTGAGATGGAATCTGAGTTTGAGCCAAAATTTGGATAACCTCGGACAGGGATTTGAAGAATCTCTCCTGTTCGGAGAGGTCTTGTCGGAAAATGAGAGTTTGGTGAGAAAATCTAGGGTTTCTTTTCCTGAAGGTAATGGGTTTCTCGAAAGTGAATTTATAACAACGTTTCTGTACAGAGAAGGAAAGATAACGAGAGAGAGAATTGGCAGAGAATGACTTACGAGTTATGATTTGGGATTTAAAATAAGAAAAAAAGAATTATTTTTTGGCCATTGAATTATTGCTGGCAAGCCTCCTGCAAACAGCACTTTACCAACGTCGCTAAAACAAGGCTACTCGCTGCCTCAGACAGACACGTGTATCGAAGTAAAAATTGCCTACCGTCTGTCTTGGAAAAAAGTCACCGCTGCTCGTCGAAAAGAAAGAAAAAGTAGCCGTTGTTGAGGCTTGTCCTTGCATTATTACGTAGGAAATCTAGAGAAATGTCCAATAAGTATTAGAGAATTTTTATGATATTTCTTCTATTTTAAAAATATCAGTATTTTTTTATTTATTAATTGTTAGATTTATATTATTTTTTAATTTGATTTAATTTTTTTATCAAATTTAATACAAATTTAAGAGTTAATAAATAAAAAATACTTATATTTTCATAAAAGAGAACACCAAAAAAAATCTCAAATATTAATTTTCTTTCTTAAAATATTGTGATTTTGGTCCCTATTTTCTTGAAGAAAACTTTAAAAGAATGCCCTTACCTGAGAAGGCGTGAGAAGTTCTATTATTTATGGTGCGTTTAATAGATGGATTCAAAATTATAATTCTGAATCTTAATTCAGAATCAGTGTTTGTTTATAATTATTTAAAATTAATATTTGGTTTAAACGATTCTGAATCATAATTCAGAATTTGATGTGATGTTTTAAACTAACTCAAATTATAATTCAAAAACCACTCAATCTTGATTCAAAGTGATTCAAATCCTGATTCTAAATTATGACTTCAGAATTATAATTTAAACTCAAAATCATAAATAATGATTCTGATTCTAAAATCATGATTAAAATCACTTGAATTTAAATATTTGTACCAAACGAATCCTTATTCTCTTTTTTAAAATATTGTTATAGTTGCCTGTCATTATCTTTTTTTTTTTTGTAATATATTAACTTAAAAATACACAAGATATTATTTCTCAACGAAGAGAGAAGAAAAGCAAACATTTCTGTCGTTATTCAAGTTGACCGTTTGTTGTGGCCTGTGGGGTTTTTTTTTTCTCTCTCTCTTTGTTAGTCGCTATTATGGCGGTGCCGGTGGGGTTTGAAGAGACGCGCCATTCCGCCACGCGCGGTCGTGGGGCTAGCTTAACTAGAACACAAAATGATGAACTATGGCTGCTTTTGCAAAGTGCTGGTTAAAATATAGTACATAAGGCCCACGATAGTTACTGAAGACACCAATATCTGACCACCCCGTTCCAAATATAGTAAAAAAGATCGCTTTCCTTCATATCACGATTCACAAATAAGCTCGGGAGTTAAGCTTATGGGGTCCACCGCACTTCTTCACTTGGACGATGTTTTCTTTCCGGCCAAACAAGGCCATTATACCTTGCAATTTCAAGGAATTTGGATGTAATTTACGCGGCTACATATGTTGGAGGAAGTTTTGAGAATGTCATCAACATTTTTTTTTTCTTTTGCTAATTAACAAGAATATTTGATGTAGGACTAACGTTCCCCCCAAAATTGTAATTGAGAGGAGATGCAACAGTGGACTATTAAGGATCACATCCCGCGCATATTTCACATTATAACCTGCAACTGATTCAGCTTTCGCTTCTGAGAGATCAAACGGAGCTCGATTAGTTTCTACTAGACGAGAAATGAAGAACATAACCAATACAGGGAACAAGGGAATACCGGACCATATCTGCTTTTACGCCATGACAATCTCACTCGAATTACGGGGACCTACACATATTAGTACAATATACCAAGGTCCCCAGCCAGATTCACACGTGCAAGTTTCCCTGCATGTGGCTCGTCCGTGTTTTCCGAGGCGCTGCCTGTGACTCAGCATGGGAGAAGGGTATAGTCAAATCTTTTAAACATTATTTAGGAATAGGATCATATTTAGAATCACTTTTAAGAACTATTCGTTTAAATACTTCGAAGAATGCTGTAAAAAAATGCTCTCTCCAAGGTGCATCTATTAGGAAGAATTTAGAATCTGCTGCTCTAATATTAATTGATGTTGGACTGGTGATATTATTCCTCCTAAAAATTGTAACTGATGGGAGAGACACAATCAAATTTTTTAAATACCATTCAAGATCATACTCGAAAACTCACTACAAACATTTACTTGTTTGGCTCTTACTTCTAACAGTCCTTTATGAATTCATGCACGCACCCAACAAACGAGCTCAACTTACGCACTTCTTTAAGATTCAAACCGTGTGGACCGCTTCTTAAGTTTAAATAGAAAAATACAAGCATCGTTATTTTTATCACTCTCTTTGTTATTCGCTACATTCATTATTTGACACGTGAATTCTACTAATATGATACATTATTATTTAAACAGAAAATGAGATAGTAGAGTTCACGTGTTAAACAATAAATACAAAGAGTTACAATGAGAATGACAAAAACAGTGATGTTAACATTTCTCATTTAAATATGCTTTTGCATTAAGACCGCTATCCATTATTATGAGTGATACATTATTGTACGTATAATATAATTATCACATGTTGAAACACAAATTATTAGTTTCAATATCTAAAGTTAACACGTTACTGACACAAATACAATTGTGCGACCACAAATAATAAAGGAATTTCTCTTGTAGGATCAGAAAAAATGAAACTATCAGTAGTTTTATTTTTTTTCAACCGTTAAATATGTATCTAAAACTGTCTAATATGCATATTTTTTCAAATATGTATCAAAAACTGTCTAATCTACATATTTTTTCAATTTTAATTGATTTTAACCATATCTAATGATCAGAAAATTGATTTTACTAGTAGGACGGCATACCGTAGACAGTCCCAAATAATAATCGTATAAAACATTTACTATCAAACAGCTTACTACTACTATCTCTATGGATGGTCTCTACAGTCAGACGTTGCGGATACCATACACATTTTCACTACGTCAAGACACATTTGTCTTCTCTACATATTTGTAAGGCATAAAACTTCTGTTGAAAACAATAAGGCAAAAGAGAGGCAAAATTGTCAGAAAAATTAAGCCATGGAAAGAGTCCAGAGACCCATTCATATTTGGTTCTTCTGAGACTATGGTCACACAATTTGACCAAAAAGAATACGGAAACAAAGGGCATTACAATTTCCTTTAAAAAAGGGCACAGTAATTGTCATAAAAATGAGCTGACAAGAGGTTGTTGCGATACCATTCATGGAGATACTTGAGAATACTTTTTATACGGATAATCTTTGACCTTCATAATAGCCGGTTGGTATTTCCAAATTGATTACAACATAACGAAAGGTGGTCTAAGTTTGACCAAGGTCCTATGTTGGTGCTTCTCTACTATTATTGCATAAATTCACTGTTCTAATGAGGTCAATTAGATAATAGTGTTAAATATTATTTGTATCATTGTTATTATTTGTATTTATCTTTATTAGGGGTAGAATAGCCTTTTTGTTTTTTCTGTAAGTCTATATAACCTTATTTCTTGATGTATATCATTATGCAATTCAATAATTAGAAACCCTAACCTAGGTTTCTCTCAGTATCGGTTCTTAGATTTCACAAATAGAACTTAAGAGGATATTTGACATGATATTGACACAAAATTATGTTGAATCTAAAACGGGGAAAACTCAAAGACTTAGGCCAAAAGAATAATAAATAGAGCTAGAGTTCATTGTCAAGTGAATCTCCACTTTTGGAGCATGGTAAATGATAATATAAGTACTTGTGTAAAAGATTATATATACATATTATTGTCTTTTCAGAATAACATGTATCAAAATATATCATTTTGAGCTCTGCCGGTTGTTGAATGCTTTAATGGCTAAAGTATTGAATTTGAGATTGACTAAAGGAGAAGATTAAATATGATCTTGACCAATGGAGAAGAGGAAAGGAGGTTTAACTAATGGTCTGCTATCTTTTTAATTGTGACAGCTACATTTCTTCTCGTTGCCATCATTTTCTTTAACACGCACATGTATATATATATATATATATACATTTATATGTTATATAATGATGGCTTTGAGGAAAAATAAAATAAAATAAAGATGATTCAATTAGTGGAACATTTGATATGGTTGGTGAAGTTTTAACATGGCAGCAATTTTGGTCAAAATGGTAGAGTTTGAATTGTCTCAATCTGGACAGTGAAACTAAAATTAACAGCCCAACAATTATAATATTTTATTTTACTTTTCCATGGGTTTGTATGCATAAATTCTGATGGTATCATCGTGCGTGCATGCAAAATTTGTCGGTAATATTTTCTTTTTCTTTTCTTTCTACCACCTCACAAAATTAAAGTACTTGCATGCCAAAAAGGACAATAAACTTATTATAACCATATTCGTAGTATAATATTTGAGGTCAAACTGGACTAATCAAGGGGGCTAGACACACCAATATAATTTAAGCAAATAAATTTCTTTTTATGTGGTCCGAGCATCGCTTATTTTAAACAATAAAAATGAGAGAGATTATTTTAAACACTAAAAATGAAAGAAACTCACCATATTTGTTCACCTCATAAATATGAAAAGATTCTGTAACACCTCGAGAAATTAAACGAGATTAATTATGATAATTAAGATTTATGAGTTTGTCTAATCTGGTTTAATTAATTAATTTTTAAGTAATAAACATTTCTGACTTATAAATTTAAATATTTTCAAGGAATTTAAATATTTTCAGTAATTACATTTTCACCCCAGAGTGTGTGTAGACACATTTTCTGAACTGTCATTTTAAATATTTTGACACATTTTTCTTTTTCTTTTATTTTTTATTTTCTTTTTCTTCTTTTCCTTTTTCCTTCCCGTGCACTCTCTCTCTCTCTTGTCGTTCTTCACTCTCTCCCTCTCTCACTCTCATTCTATCACTCTCTCTCCCGTTTTCTCTCGTAAATCAACCGGATTTCGAACCAAAGAAGAATTTTAAGGAGTTTTCAACATCAAGAGAAGGATTTGAGGTAAGATTTCTGA